TAATTTGGCTTCTCAAATAATACAAAATTGGTGCATCTGTATGCAGCAGTTAATAAATTCAGTGAGTATTTATTTACATGCATATAGAACAGTTTACTCACATGTATTCGATTCCTTTTCAGTGATGAACCCGTGGCAGATATTGAAGGCCATACAGTACGTGTGGCCCGTGTAATGTGGCATCCATCAGGACGTTTCTTGGGTACTACCTGGTAAGCCTTCCTATTGTTCTATCTGTACGAAAGGCTGGCCTGCGCCCTCTTGCAATCCGGGACCCCTTGGGGGATATCAGAGAGCTGGTTTTGGCCCAATCCCCACAGGCCAGACCGAGGGACCCCACCAGTGCACGAATCCATGCACCGGACCTCTAGTATGCATATAAGATCTATGGCTAATCTCTTCCCTCCCTCCCCCCTTCCCTCTGAGATTCATCAGTCTGTTCCATGTTTCCATGCCTGTGGTTTTTGCTCCTGTGTTGAGTATCTGCCCGCTGGTGGTCAGTGTGCGCCATAGATACCAGAGGGTCACTTAGGCTTTTATATATTTAGATGGGCTTATGATGTCTTATTAACCCTTTATGGTTAACTGCCAAGTAAATTTTTAGAACAGAGATCTTCAAGGATTTTATTGTCAGTGAATCAGAATAGAGTATATTATGTAGTTAGAGGTACAGTGGGGCCTTGACTTACGAGTGTCCCAACTAACGAGTTTTTTGAGATACGAGCCGTTTCTCGGCCAGTTTTTTGCTTTGAGTTGCGAGCTAAAATTCGGTTTACAAGCCAGCTTCAGATACCCCACCGCTAGTTGGCGCAGTGAACGTCACAGTGAATGCCACAGCATCAGCCCCGCATCACGTGTCTCATTCACTTTATGATTTGACATACAAGTAATTTGAGTTACGAGGTCTGTCACGGAATGAATTAAACTGGTAAGTCAAGGCCCCACTGTTAAGTGTATTTGCTCTTAAATTGCAGCATGCTTCTTGTTGCTAGGAAGTAAATTTTAAAGTCACTAGTTGTCCAGAAAACTAAAATTTTCACTCTTTCTTGACCAACACTAGAGGTGTGTGTGTTTTGTTTTCTTTGTGTTTGTTATTTTGGGATGTTGTTTTTTGGGGGACGGTGCGTTGTGGGGTTTTTTGCATTATAATCTCTGCTTGAAATTGGTCTCCCTTTCTGGTTCTATAAGTTTACTGAAAGACTCGTTCACGTTGTTTGTATGTATGAGTAGTTCCTTTTTCTTGCTGAGGAGTAATCAGTTGTATTACTGAGCGACAGTTTATCCATTTTCCTACTGATGGACAGTTGGGCTGTTTCCAGGTTTTGGCTCATCAGAATAAAACCGCCATAAATATCCTTGGACAAGACTCTTTGTAGACATACTTTTCTTTCCTTTCTCTTAAATAAATACCTGCAAACGCAAATGGTAGGTCATAGGGTACATGTGTATTTAACTTTTGAAAAACTTCCAAGGGGTTTTCTAAAATGGTTGCACCATTTTACATTCCCAGAATTCTGATTGCTTCACCTCCTTGCCAACAGTTGGTTTTGTCAGTCCTGTCATTCTGCCCAATCTAGCAAATGTTTAGTGAAACCTCATGGTTTTCATTTTTGTTACTTTAACTCTAGATTGCCCAAGGAAGTCATTTTGACTGCTTTTTAATTTCAATTAGAAAAACAATGATGTATATAATGACAGAATTTCTTAGAATTTTGTGACTTTTTATACAACATATAAATGCGTTTATTAATAATTGTAGTTACCTCCCCCTCCATTTCCAGTATATATATGTGTGTGTTATACCT